TTGCCTTCTGAAATACAAATTTCAAAATCATAGGTCTATCAAATTCTCCTGGTTTAGCTAATTTAACGGCATTGCTGACCTAGCTCCAAGAGAAACCACGGGGAATCTCATTGATACAACTCTACCATCACCTCTGAAAAGAACATGTTGTTATTAAAGTTTGCATGCTGCTGCTGTAACTGTAGCAGGTAGAAAATCACAGTGGATCATTTCTGTACAAGTGAAAAGCCCAGTGTAAAAGGGGGAAGAAATTTTATTTTTCATTTAATAAAACAAGGAACAATCACAAAGACGCGACTCCTTTGGCTGCCAAGATGTGTGCAGGAACAGACGAGGGCTGTGAAACTTCAGTGAACAATGAAGTGAGAAGTGTACTAGTGCCCCAGGGATGTAGATTATTCTTCAAGAATTCTTTAAATGTAGAAACCTTTGAAGCTTCAGAGCTAGATTTGTAATTCATACAGAACGACGTTGTTACAAATAGCTATCTACATTATATTTAAAGAAATAGAAACTGTAATTGCTCTTTTGATTCATATTAGCTATTGCTTACACAATAGAGGATCTAATCCACTGAGAAAAAGTGATTTGCCTCAAGTCATACCATGTGCTGGAGTTAGGAATAAAACCACAGCTTGTGATTCCCAATAACAGGTGAATTAACTAGTATTTCTTACAAGGTACATCTACAGTATCCTTGAGGACAACCTCAAAGCCAAATTCCCAACGTTTCACCTTGTCTAATCGAGGGAATGCCCTTGAGGGTTCCCTTCGAGTGATTCTTCTGGTTAGTCAAGGAACAAAAATATCCATTTCACTTTTATCTTACAGACATAAGGGATCAAATCAAAGTTGGGTCCTATAAGAGCCACAGGAAAAAAAAAAAAAAAATCAGGTAGACTGTAAGAGAGGTAGACCCGAACTGTTTTCTTCCCGTAACTCACATGGTCAAAGAGCTATTGTTGCAGCACATAAAAGTAGTAGATAGAACTTCTTCCCTGAAAATCAGAAGTTACTTGGGCTACATCCAAACTTGGTGTTAGACTAGAACCAACCACTCTGCAGTGACTGTGCAGAGTGTTGCAGGTTGCAGCGAGTCTGATGACACACTTTGTGATAACAGGGAGCGAGTCTTTCAGGAAGTGCCAAAGGGTCTTGATTTTTCTGCCTAAAGGTTCTGTAATTGAGTTCTTAAGAACTTTATGACTATCAAGGAGATCGTAAGCAGTAAAATTATAAGTAATGACTATCAAGCAGATTGCAAGCAGTGTAGTAGAGAGTGGGAGTGGGTATCAGCAGTACCTGGACTAACAATATCTGTATGATGTGGCAGGCACAGGGTGTTAGATTATATCAAGATGGCAATGCAGATCATTCAGGAGGATAGCTCTGTGTTTTCTAATGCATCTCTCCAGAGCATGGGAATGTACAGTCTCATGGAGTGGTATCCCCCTAATTCTTTAGGGAGGCGAAGATCAGCACTTCTCACAACTGTTTTGGGCTGTTTTGTGACTTATCACAGAAATCTAGGAAAGTAGCCTTGTAGCCCATGGAGTCACCCCAGGAGATGTGTGCATAATGAAAGCTTGCAAATGTGCAGGTGCCAGTTTGACATTTGTAACAGTGCATACAGTATTTATGCCGCACTTCAAAAGCCTATAGGTATCATGAAAGATGGTTGCAGTGAGTTTGCATTAATGGTGTCACTGCATCCTCTGTGGCCATGATTCCTGACCTCTCCTCTGAAGCATTTTGGAGCTCCTATAGATCAATCTAGAGGAAGGGGGACACAAGAGATGCAATCTCTTGTCACTATGAATGCAGAGAGCTTGTATATAAAGCAACACGGTAAATCATATGATGTATAAGACACAAATGTGTTAGGCACAGCATGAATACCAGAAGAGTACGTGGCAGGGGTTTGCATAATCATTGCAGTTGTTGGATAGGAGCACATGATACTCCAGGAAAAATTCTATATGTTTTCAGAAATCAGGTGACCCAAGACATTCAGGGAAAACTACTGCACATTTCAAGGTGATACTATGTTACTAAGATAGCATATTTTTTTCAAAAACGATTACACGTACAAATAATTTTTCTTATGTTTTAGGTTTATTTAAGAATTATCTCCTCAGAGCTGCCATTTCCATCAGCTAGCTCTATTTTATAGCTAGCTGCACTGCAAGCTTGAGTAGCAGCCTTGGACTTGGCTCTTTTTTCTCTATAGTGGGATCTAACCTGTGTAATTTATGGGCCTAACTTTCGTCTAACTTCTAGGAGAATAATTAGACAACCTTCTTGGGGTGATTTCATAGTAAAAAGAGAAAGACAAAACTACTAAATAAGGTTAAACTACTAAGTAAGTCCTTTCTAAGTTTAGAAAAGTTTAAGTGATGAATCAGGAAGACAGCATCTCCCTCTGCAGGACTTGAGAAATACCTCCCTCCCTCCCTTTCCTCCTGCCTCCCTCTCTCTGGTTTCGTACAGGAAAAAGGTGTTTATCTTAGAGCAACATTTTAGACAGTTAAAAATAAATACAAGCTGGATACCAAATTTCGGTAATTTCGGATCAGATTCTACCTCACCAATTTCAGTGATTGGAATCAAACCTCTACTGAATAGTCTAATGGATTTTAATCAGGCCGCTTTTCCTTGAACATGGATTTTTGCTAGATTAGTGACTACAAGAGGAAGTATGAGCTGATGATCAGAGCATAGAAGTGAGTGTTATGTTACATAGGTCCTCTTTCTAGCTCTGGCACTAGGCTGTTGTATCTCTGCTATAAATCACCACACATATACATTAACTTCGTTTTATGCAAACAGAAAAGTTGATTGTCACCCTTTAGAAAAACACTGCATTATATCAACTACTGTTGTTATTATTACAGACTTTGGTCAAATTTTGAGGCAGCAGTAGAGTAAGAAATGGCAGATTGTTCAGGCAACTGGGATCCTCAAAGACAGTGTTATAAATGCAAAATGCAATACTTACGCTTTAGGGGGTTAAAAAGGTAATAATTAACTTTACTTCTCTTTTTGATATGTACAAAAGAAAGATCAAAGACCTCTAACAGCCCTTTAGGATTTGCTTTTACTTAAAACACAAAGAACTAAAAGGTGGGTTTTTTTTTCCAAATGATGTTGTTCTTAAAGGAAAGCACCTTTAAAATGAACAGGAAAGGGTTGTTTCAGTTCTGTATAGATCACCTGTAGAATTTATTTTGCCCGAAAATTAACTTCAGCTTAAGCACTTCCAGTTTTACCATGAAAACAACAAATGGACTGTTAGCAAGTAATCTCCCAGTGAGTATGGGGAAGTCGTACATCAGGAGGGTGCAAATTAATGTTAAAATAGAAGTAATCATCTTGAATAATTTTATTTATAATGGTTGGGAATTAGAGAAGGACAGAAATGTATGGTTTGCTTACATATTTTTCCAGCAGCATATTCCTGAGAGTGGATTTGCTTCCTGCACAATACTCCTCTGTACCTGCGACACATCTCCTCCATCTCAATTACCTGAGCATCCCCCTGCCTGGGTAGATAATCCAAAACACTATTTCAGCTGTGCCCAGCTACCAGCTTTTTTTACACTGCACAGCATCCCTTAGAAGGATTTGAATGCTTTTTGGAGATGATAATCAGTTGTTAGCCCTGGTGCTGGCCACCATACATCATCCAGCCAGCAGAAGGCTCCCTAATCTACCAAGTGCAGCAAAAGCCACTGAAAGGAGAGCGGCCCAGGGCAAGGGAGCGCTGGGGCGGTGGGGAATGCACCATCAGGAGAGGCACCAGAGCCCACCAAAAACAGGACTTGGGCAAACCCAGGGGCCCAGTGGCGAGAGGAAGGCAGTTCCAGGCTGCACACAAGGAGGGATCTCAGCAAGACACCGCTCTATCACTCCTACCCAATAAACACTACGTGCTGCTTGTTTACTTTTGTTTTTAATGCTCGAGGCAGCCGTGACTAGCACATTTGCTCTATTTACTTTTGTCTTTTAATGAATTCTTGGGTTACTCAGCGTGGAAATATTTGCAGGACTCTACCAAGGGCTGACATGCTTTCATCTGCACATGGGGTGTGCCAAAGACTGGAGGATACATCTATGTGAACTTCTGCAATATCTACTTTATGGTCATCACCCTAGAAGTCATCCTGCTTGGTATTTGTGTGTTTTACTAGCAGCTGAAGTACATAAGATGGAATTAATCTATATGTCACAGCTAACCTTGCCTATTATCAGGAAAATGAAGCCCAGTTGTATATTGCTTCTGCATTTTCTCTGTACTGAAACAGCACAAGTCGTAGCAATCTTGAGAATTATCCCACTCTCCATGGAATCCTTCAACCATTCTTAGGGCTATAAACAGCACAGACACAGAAAATGTCTGTCAATACCCTTTTATTCCCCCCCTAAACCTCCTTCTGCTGACAGGATAATGTGAGCACTTTGAATCTCTCCCGTTTTGAAAGTTCCCTTATTCTAAAAGGCTTCTGAGAGTTACTTATGGCAGCTTTACGGCTCATTTACATACAGGAATTATGAGCCACAGATGAATCAGCCCCAAATAAAATGATTTGCAAAAGGCCATGCAGTAAAGAGCAGGGAGGACACAAACTAAAGATTAGACCATGCCCTATTGTGCTTAGGTTTTGCCACTGCAAAAAGCCAGCTCCGATGTACAAAATACACCCTTTGCTCTGCTCCAGAGCTCACTAAAAAGACAAGCACAAGTAGATTTCTGTCATTAGTTGCAGCTGCCTAACAAACGGACCTGCACGTCCGACTTCCAGAACTTCACAGAAAATCCTAACTTCCTGTTGTAGATAAAATTATACAGCCAATTATGCAGCCTCTTCTTTTTCTTCTTCTTTTTTTTTTCTCTCTCTCTCTCTTTTTTTTGGGGGGTACAAAGAAAACCTTTTAGCTATGTTATTCTCCCTTCTTAGGAGGTACCTTTAATGTAATGGAGACTTTGAAGTGAGCCGGGGTTTGTTACAATGGACTAACCTGATTAGAAATCATGCAAACTCCTGTTGCTCTGTAGCTGTATTCCCCCACAGGCTGTATTGGAGCTCTCTAACCAGTCCCACAGCATTGAATGATGTCATGGGATCTGCAGCTCAGCGAGATGAAAGGGATAAAGCGGAACCCGCTGGCACTGGGGAACGCTTCCAACACACAATCCACAACACAGCTTGGGAACTCAAAAGCTACGGATCCAGCCACTCAACTCGAAGCGTTTAAGAATCATGTGCATTCTCCCAGCACAAGAAAGGAAAGGGGGGGGAAAAAGTTAGTGATCGATTTTTAACAAAAGAACTAGAGCACTGAAAGGCGGGATTTAAGAGTGCAAGTACCTGCTGCAAAAGCTCTTTTTTCCCCTCCAAAGCACCGCCTTTGATGTATGGCAACTGATCAGTGATCAGATTACAGGCATTTGGTCTCAGTGCTCGTCTGCCTTTGATCTGCATGGTTAATTTTATTTTCCCGGATTTGGAGTTTCGTCTGGGCTTGTGCTGACATACTTTTTTTTTTTTTTCTAAGGAGCTAAAAGCATTTAACACAGAAGCTCTGGCAGTGTGAAATTAAGTTGCAGAAAGCCTGGGCACTGGAAAACTTCATCAGATAACAGGTACTGGATTTTGTATTTTTTTTTGCAGTTCTGTGTTGCTAGATTTTAATTAATTACAAAGCTTTTCATAAACAGTGAAAGTACACATCACTGTGCACACTTTGAAGATTATATAACAATGTTAGCTATACAGCATTTCAATTTGTAACTGTTGTACAAAACTTTATTGAGAATAGGCTATATGGAATATATAAGCAAATGAAAACTGAAGCAATATTTGGGGGGTATATAATATTTTGCTCTCCACTGCTCATTGCAACTGTCTATAGTTTTGTAAAGTCACAATTTAATATAAGTATCTCAGGATTTAGAGGAATATTTTCTAAGAAAAGATCAGTCATTTCCAACCTAGTGTATACACTTTATTTGCTTTTGGTGTTTTTAATAAACTCTGCCTTCTTCAAGCAACACTTTTAACTTTAATAGTTGCATACTTGAGATAATGAGTCTCCTCTGCCACAAGTTATTTGAACTAAGTTTATAAATAACATTCTTGTATACAAAAGAGAAAAGTTTTTACTTCAATATTAAGGAAATGATAGTTCAGCTATCAAATATGAAAAAATCTAATAATGAAAGCAACATTTTAAGCTGTTGATAGAAACTTGCTTTAAGACATTTTAATAAAGATTTTAAAGAAAGCTTAAGCTTATGTAGAGCAAACACCTGGTTTTACTGAACTCCATGGAGTTCCCATTTCAGTGAAACAATCTCCACCCCAGCATTTTATATTCTTTTCCTCAAATTCATGTTTATGAATACATACTGCATTTAAGGAAGAGTCATTAGAAGAGTGAAATTATTCACTATACATTTGTGATCCTATTTTAAAAGGACCAGATTTTAGGATGAGCTTTAGCTAAACCTGTGAGTGTTCTGTGCCTGCAAGTTGGAGCCAGACTCTTAAAAGACTGAAAACCTCTTTATGTATTTAAATGTAATTTAGGTATTCAGAAGAGCCTAAAGACCATAACTGGGAGCAGATTTGCACAGAAGTTCAGCTTTTCAGACACTGAGCTCTTTGAAAAACTAGTCTTAATGGTGGATGAAGAGTTTTTTAGAATATCAACTTCAAATATCTTAAATCTGAATTTGAGGGTATGCACATTTTAAGTATATGTGCATTAAAAAGATGCAGCTAAAAGTTAGCCTAATTTACAGCTGCTAAGGACTGTTAAAAAAATCTATTCTCTAGGAAGCTTATCAATCAACAGAACCCCCAATATGTTCATACTTCAGTATTCTGCACTGCAACATGCAAAATCAAATTTTAACAGCCTGCTTACATCTGAATAAGATTAAGCTATCAGCACTTCCAGACAAATGCAGTCACTTTTCATTAGTCAGCCTGGAAACTTTTTTTTTTCATTCTAATTACAGATATATTTGTATATATATAAATTTAAAATTTACTGAATATCAAGAGATAATATGCCAGTCACAGATCAACTAAGCCTGACTTAATATCATTTAATTTTCTATACTACCAATTAATTCATATTCTGACTTAACAAGTCAATTACGCTATAAGGAAAGTAATTAGCACTGCATGAATAAGGTGTGCATAGCTAGCTGTCAAGGAAGGACATTGTTGAAATTGCAGCTAAAACAAAATCCAGCATTTTTCCTTAAAAGACAGTGATGTACTACAGCAGATTTCTGGAAAAGATTTTATATTTAATTCTATTAACAAAATCTATATTTCACCAGTCAGCTCCTTCACTCTTCCATCCTCTCCTGCTTGTTGCTATTTTATAACATGCCCATTTATGAAGTGGAAAGAGAAGCAAATTTTAGTAGTCGTGCAAGGATTGTTTTAGTTTTCATCAAGAGTCAAGATGGGTACATTGAGCTTTCTGAGTCAGAAACAACTACTGTAATCGCTGTAAGGATCTGACCTGACGATCACACGAATGACTACAGCTGCTCATAGAAGTAAAGCTGGAAGATCAGATAGATTGCGGTCATCAGTAGGATTGCAGTGATATGCAGGTATTTGCAAGATTCAGGCCCTAAAACTTCATTTAGGAAATAAAAGATATTTAATATGCAAATAGATCCCAGGATTTTATGTAATTTTCCCACACATACTTAAGCACAGATGCACCTTAACTCATTTATACTGAAAAAAATCTTTGCATGTCTATAGGAAAGTGAGACTAAAGTGAAACCGTAGTTGGACCTACTCAAGTAGGGGGTGGAACATTTTCAGCAATTCTGTTATTTTAAAAAGCAGTACTGTGACAGCTTAGCCTTTCATTGATCTGACTTTTAGAGATTAAATAATAAGAACTCTTGGCACTTACGACTTCACTTTTGCAAAGTGCTGTATAAACATTAATTAATCCTCCGGCTTAAGTCTTCAGAAAGCGAGCGTTCGCAATGCTTTTTCAAGCAAATCTGACCAGGAAACTCACAAGTATAAATATCATTTATTTATTAAAATAGCTCAAGCAATTCTTGGTTATAAATAGAGCCATCTCCAAACATCATGTCTTAGATAACATCATAAACATATTTTAACATTTGTAATAGTTTAAACTATCAAAAGACACTGTACAGTTCTACTGACATCAGTTTCCAACAGCTGTCATAACAAGAGTAGATCTATCTCATAGTTGACTGGGGGAACTGTGTTAGCATTTGAGATATGAAGATAACAACTTCCTATTGCTGTACAATTTCTGCTTCCACATCAGATATGTCACGCATCTTAGTCTTATCAAAGGGGTCAGCTGAAGACACTTTCCAAATTATTTCTTTTCTGCTTTCTGTCCCGGAGTGGGAACTTCTCTACTTTCATCCCTATTAGTTGTTCTAACATTATACTGTCTTCCATTTCTGTAGGAGCAATACCATAACTTAAAACAAAAGACCCCCTGCAATTTACAACCTCTTTTAATGATGAATGGAATTAACTAACTCATCCATTTTACATTTAGTGGAAAAGCCAAGCATGCTACAACAGGGGCTTGAAGAAGTTTCAGTGTTACAGACTACACACTGCTATTAATCCATAGGCACAGTAAGCCCCTGTGAGGGATGAGGAAGCCCTTATGTTTCTTTATATGGTGATCTTCAGTGCTCAGACAAGACTTTGAAGAACTCTGGGACATTTTACTATGTTTGTCTAGCTAGACTATTTAAAAAATAGTATCCGAAACACACATGGTGACTCCACGAAGAAAAAAACATTTAGTATATTTTACAGGTGTCCGTACAAAAGGGATAACATATGAAACAGTTGTCTGTAAATAGCAAGAGGATGCAGCATTCTCAGTGCTGTGCAACAGCTGCCGTTCACAACAGATGCACCACTGCCTTTGTACTGGTGGGTGTCATTCCTCATCGAAATTCCAGGCTCTGACAGAGCTCCTTCTGGCAAGCGTACTGAAAAAAATTCTTCTTTGCAAGCCCTAAAAAGAAAGAAATTCTGAATTACTTAAAAACAAAATTTTTAAGCAATCCTTTTTTTTCAACTACTTACCTCTACAAAGATAACTACTTTTGTTTCAATAAGCATTGCTTATGAAGGCTATGTAACACACAAACTTCAAATTTTTATCTGTGTGAAACACCCTAAATTTCCATTTATTTCAAAATGCTTTTCTGTCTCATAGAACCAAGAGTTTACCCTCTCCAGAACCTAAACCAATTCCTAATGCATTCACACAAACTCTTACACTGCACTGGTATCATAACCTCCTTCATTAGAAATAAAACTACTAACCTAAAATCCCTGCAGTAGTAATTTTTGACCAAGTTCTCTCAGACTGGTTTTACTGGCATTGGGTCACCACTGACCCAACAGAGCATTTCATTTACCTTACAGTTAATGCCAATAAACTCCACTCTTTCAAAAAAAAACCCCCACTTTTCCAGCTACGGAAAATGATGTATTACCTAGGGAGGCCCAGATTTCTGAACTTGCAGTTGGCATTGGCAGGGTGCCTCCTGCTGGGCTACTCTGTTATCTACAGATCTCAAAAGATACGATTTCAGACTTTGAAAGATTTCAGACTTCAAGCTGGCATGGAAAAAAAGGCTGCTCAGCAACCCTGGGAAGCAGACAGCTTCTCGGGCCAGGTTCAGAGGGCTCTTCCATGGCTGCCTGCAGGTGGGAGAAGGGTTGGGGACTTTGGTGGTGAGCTACAGGTCACCTCCTGCCTTCCACGTGAAGAAGCCCAAT